AGCGAGCGATCAGTACAAGTACTGATTGACTTGGCAGCAGATTTTTGTTGATTGTGTTATTTATGTTTCTTGTCGTTTACTGGTAAATACGACAACTTATTGCAACCCCAACTAGTAAGTTTTTTTCCCCAAAAATTCAAAGCGTCATTAATGCAATACGTTTTTATTCGATAAGTGTAATTCAACGTGTTTTTTTTTCATCAATGACTTTTGTCATTAATTTACTTCCATATGTTTGAAACTGCCCTTTTTTGTTATCACTATGTGGTGCTGCCTCCTTTTTTGGGTGACCTGTCTAAATTTGAGCACTTCCAGTTTAACATCCATCAAATACTTCGATTTATCATATTCACAGGCTCAAATGTCGTCTGCTTTCACCCTTCCCTTTGCTGCCACTATACAGTACTGCTTCGGTTTTGGGGTGATCTGTCTCATAATGTTGTTACTTCTAGTGCCTCACTCATAAAATGTCTCTGATTGAAATGTTTGAAAAAGGTCCAATGAATGATTTTTGAGTTATCATCTTAACAAGCAAGGTGTCTGCTGCAGTGACAGACTGGTCCCAAAAGCATATGCATTCCCCAGAGTCCTGGAAATACAATGACTGGAAAATAGAGGGTGGTTCATAACAAAATACTTTATATTGCTGACCTCAATGAAATGCACTTCATCCTTAATTAAAAATGTGTCACTGCTAGCTGACTCATCACACGCCTTACATGCCTCTGATCATTCAGTCCGCTTGACCAGCATGTCCTTCTGTGTTTCCTAATCAAGTCTCATTTAACAAGTTTTACCCTGTTAAACCCATCTCTTAGACTTTGATATGTTGCAAAACCTTTTAACATTGCTGTTATTAGACCAGGAGGTTCAAAAGAAACCAAATCTTGAACTTAGTGACTTTGGAAATTATAGACCTACAGTGCCTTGCAAAATATTCACCCCCTGTTGAAATACCAGGTTTTGTGATGTAAAAAAAATGAGACCATGTTAAATCAACTGAAAACTTTTTCCACCTTTAATGTGCCCTATAACCTGTACAATTCAATTTACAGTAAACAATATCACCCATCCCTACTGCCAGTCACCCAAACTATGTAAAATAAAGGGACAAAAACAAGAGTGACACTTATAAATAGATAAATAGATAAATAAATAGATAATAATAAAGAATTGTAATGTGGTATGTGGTGCTCCCGATATCTTTGCAAGAGGACGAAGGTTCAAGTCTTTAGAGTCCTGGTGCTCCATGTCTTGCTGTATGGCTGTGAAACATAGACGCTATCCAGTGGGCTGAGAAAAAGACTGGACTCTCATCGGAAAATCCTTGGGCACCGCTGGTATGACTTTGTGTCGAATGGGCGGTTGCTAGAATGAGTCCCGAATGAGACACATTACCTGCATTGTGAGGGAACGTCGGTTACAGCACTACGGCCATGTGGCGCGTTTCCCTGAGGGTGATCCGGCTTGCAGGATCCTCACTGCTGAGGACCCAAGTGACTGGACCAGGCCAAGGGGACGCCCACGTAACACCTGGCTGCGGCAGATAAGATAAGGTAAGATAAGATAGGACTTTATTGATCCCACACTGGGGAAATTTACTCGTGGCTACAGCCAGTGAATAAAAAGCAACAAAAAAAGAAACAGACCAAAAAATACAGTAACAAATACATTAAATAATCAAATTAGTGCACATAATTACACATATTGCACAGACCAAAAAATACACATACATATACACATATATACAGACTGCACCGAGTGATGTAAATTTAAGAGGTATTATAAAGTCTGATGGCAGATGGAATGAAGGACCTGGAAGCGTTCCTTCTTGCATGTTGGATGCAGTAGTCTGTTGCTGAAGGAGCTTCGTAATGTCCTCACTGTGTCATGCAGGGGGTGAGTGGGACTGACCATAATGGATGTAAACTTGGCCAGCGTCCTCCTCTCAGCCACCTCCTCAGCGGAGTCCAAAGAGCAGCCCAGGACAGAGCCAGCGCTCCTGACCAGTTTGTTCAGTCTCTTCCTGTCCCTTCCTGAGCTCACGCACCTCCAGCAGACCACCGAGAAGAATATAGCACATGCTACCATAGTGTCGTAAAAGGTCCTTAGTAGTGTCCTGCACACACCAAAGGACCTCAGCCTTCTTAGCAGGTGGAGACGGCTTTGCCCCTTCTTGTAGATATAGATGAATGGACATTTCCAGAGGGTGGGAACAGGGAGTTGTGTGCAATGCAATTTGTGTAAAAAATGCAGTGGTTTGTGCAAGTAATATCATCTGTGTCTATGTAGTTTTGTCTGTTTATTTCTGTTTGGTAAGTATATGATAATGTACAAGGAAGGCAGATAGAGAGGGTACCGTATGGGCTGTTCTGGAGGAGAGGAACTGGAGAGGCAGGGCAAAGCAAGTAAGTAAATATTGTACTGTCGGCGGAATGGCTTCTGAATAGCAGAGCTCTTTGTCATGTCTTAGCATCCTTCGCATGTGAATAGCCCTTGTCTGCATTATTGTAAATAACTGTATGTGTACCCGATTATTGCATATATTATAGTTTCTTGCCTGCCACTCAGGAGCCGTGGTCTGCTGAGCGACACAGCATGTTA